TTATTACATAGTGTGATTGCTGATGTATGACTGTGAGTGTAAGAATTGAAGTAGAGATAACGACGTTTATTAGTTTTAATTTTGTTACAATTAAACGTACATTTAATTTACGACGTTTTATTAATTTTTGTTAAAAATTAATATCGACCGCCGACATATATTTTGTTGAATAAATTGTTATTTTTTTTAATTTTCCTGAATTCCTTTCAAGTAATTTTAAGAATTTCGTTTGTTTTGCTGTCCTATTTTTTTTAACGACGAGTATTTCAGCATGGCCCGCCGCCCTGAAGAAGAGGTAATAGCTAGCCGAAGTCGAAGCAGTAATTAGTTGGAGATCATTCTCCTGGCGCCCTTTTATTAATGATAATTTTTTTTTAGTAAGCCAAATTTTAATATAAACGGTGAGCCTGGCTTGGTAAATCCCCGGGTCAGGCGAAATCCCATTATAATACATACATACAGACATAGTGACAACCTCGCGGGGATAGTCAGGGAAGCTTCCTGTGACCTTCAAACGTCGAGATCTGATGAAAACTTGATTTTTGCGAAACGGGGTGAAAACAATAACTTCCCGATTTTTGAAAATCTGAGATTTTTAGCGGGAAGTTAAAAATTTTTTTTTAATTGATATAATAATGTTCTAAAAATATAATAACACAAGACAAATTTTTTTTCAGAATTAAAATTTTTTTCATATGCGAAAAAAAATTTATTTAAAAATTTGAATTTTTTGTCAGTATTGTACCATTAAATTAAAATGATGTTGATTCCGAACAAAAAACGATTTTTTTCAACCGTCTTTATAGGTCCCGGTACCCACCGCGGAAACCGTAAGAGCATAATAAGTAATAAGCATTCAATTTTTTAAAGGAAATTTTTTTTTTGGTTACTACTATAACGTTCTGGATTTTCCAGCGGATATTTTTATCATTTACCCGGCGGGTGTCTTTCGGAGATCTATAGATTCCAGGCGCACCCTGCTTTTAGATACTCTTTAAAATTTTTTAAATAATTATTAAGGGTATTATATTTAAAATAATACACACGATTATATAAAATTAAAGTAAATTGTTCAATTAATTATATAATTTGGGCCAGATGGCACCGGACATACGTCCGGAGCCCCAAGATGATTGTCGCCTGATTGCTCAGGGCAGACTGATCTGGATTTTCATCCAGTACAATGAAATATAAAAAATTATAATTTTGCAACGTCACATCTCAGGTTACCCTAGAGAACATCATCGAGGCCCGAGTCTCATGCATCGTCATGAGCTTAAACTTCGGACCGCGACAGTGTTCGCAGAATTTCCTTATCTACTCCAGTCATTCCGTTCTTCCAACGGAATAATCGAAGTATCATTTATAATAAAATTTAAACTTTAAAATTGATATTATTTTTAATTCTAAATTCGCCGGAACGTTACACTACTATATTTTTAGAACATAACTAAATCAATTTTCGAAAAAAAAAAAAAATTTTATATAAAAATATATTATAAAATTTTTATAAAATATATATGCCTTTATTAACGATATTTATGCCTTTTGAACGATATCTTTTGTCGGTATTCGCTGTTATGGCATCTGCAACGCGATATTATTAAAGCCCGCGAGTGCTTGCAATTGAAAGAATGATAAAATTGTTATATGAAAAATTTCAAGTTTAATAATTTTGTAATAAACTTTAATCCTCTTATTATCGGACACTTTTTACCAATTAAAATTGGATTATCATTATTATTATTAAAGTAATTCATACCACAGTTATCAACCCAAAATGCGCGTACTGAACTAAATTTAAATTAAAGAACTACTTTTTTATGATGACCTTCCTGGTAACTGTTAAAATTGAGACTGCGTAGATATCTATTGGTGCGTTCCTTCTGATATCACTCATGCGCAATAAATTTATTCCAATACTCGGTAATACTATATGAAAATCAATTTGAATTAAAAACTAGAATTTTAAATTACGTGATATGTGCGCGCTTCAATATTTAATAATATGAAATTAAAATTTTTTTTTTCGAATTAGAATCAAAATTATTTTTGACAATTCGCTAAATTTCGACAATATTGATACTAAATAACTTACCCCAATTATGAATTTTATATTATAGAAGATAAATAATGCTGTCATAAAACACTATTAATGAAAAATTTGTATTGTAAGAGTCTCTCTTTTTAGAAGCATGTTATTGTCAAATAAATTAATCAAAAATAGAGAAATTAAATATATTTTATTAATAAACTTTTTGAAGTATTATTGGGTGTGTATATGTCAGGGGTCCTCGAGTACTGTGCCCAAGATTCGAAAGAATAAATTTCATTCATTTATATTATGAGAACCGCTCCTATAAATTATGAGAATCATTACCATAATCATAGGAGCTATTCTTTTAATTTTTAAGAAAATTACCTATCATTATGGGAACTATTTCTATAATCTATGATCGTAGTTTTTATAATGTTATAAGAAAAAAAAATATTTTCTTTGCATATATAGTATCAATCAATGCCTGATTATACTACAACAATTCTGAATAATGAATCACCTTTTAGATTAATTTTATATTTAATAGAATTATTGCAAAAATCTTTATCTAAAAATCACAATTAAATGATAATAATTGAAATTACGTTTTTCAAATGGAAGTGGATGCAACTGAAATCGTACGATGACTGACTTACTGATCAATAACTGAATTATAACTTTTTTACTTTACCTGTAGATAATATCAGTTGAGCTGAATTATTTATGTGAAACTGAATAATTTATAAACTTGTTAAAAAGTTAAAAGTGATGTTAAATGCTTGCAACTAATGTTTCACAGAATACATTATCATTTTATTCACTTATAAAACTTATAAAATAATTATATTAACGTATGTTCGATTTTAAATTGAGAAAAAAATTATTATTTTGGTACATCATAAACGTTTTAATATAACTCTCATTTGACAATTTGATGCATATTTAAGACATTCAAGTTCTCGAACATGAATGTATTTAATTGATATTAATCTAAAACCGATGGTTAAAAGAAATAGAATGTGATTATAGTATATTCTAAGAAATCGGGAATAAATTTGAAATTTTATCTCTCGGAGTTTAAGAAAAAAAAATGAAAAGCAATTTATGTATACAGTAAACATGGAGTTTTCATCCTGCGGAGTGATTTTCGAGTGAATACAGGTTTTAACAGAAAAAATCTTTTTACGGAAAATAACAAGTAAATAATTTATTGTCATCAAAGTATAGCAAGGCTTCTAATACTTTAACTCCCTATTGTTTCCGCTCTATTTTTCAATAAAAAGTAGTGAAGGGCTTGTCTGCTACAGTGTATTCTTTAAATTTAATTTACTAAATTTTTTCAAATTTCTTTTAATTTTAAACAATGTTAACTTTGAAATATCTTTTTAAATAACGTGAAAAATTTTTTCAATTTTTAATTCTATTAATTAATTTTAATATTTTTTTTTTTTTTTTTTTTTTAAGAAAAAAATGAATTCATAAACTCCGGTCTATTTTACAGGGCGATTTAATTCGTTTATAAATATTATAAATTTATCTAACATTATATCAAGAAAAATGAATTATTTTTATTTATAGATCAATGATGACAAAAAGTTCAATAGTAAAAGATGTGGAATGGGCAATAGGAAGCCATCGCACGCTTCTTCGAATAAATGGTTTATGGATTTACTCTGAAAAACATTCATGGCTTGACATCGCAATGAATATTCAAGCATTACTTCTCACTTTAAGTATATTTGGATTTGTTACATTGCCCCAAACTATAGCGTTAATGAAAACTTGGGGTAATGTTACGTTGATTGGGGATAATATTATGTCCAATTTGCCAGTCACTATGGCTGGAATAAAACTTATTAAAATGTGGACTAACAAAAAAAGTACATTGTTTATTTAACATTTTGCCTTTTTTTTTTTATCAATCTTCGTCACTCGCTCAGTAAGCGTTGTGCCGCTGTGTTAAATCAAGCCCAGTGTTACCAAACTTTTCTTGTTTTTAAATTAAAATTAAAAAAATCCATTTTTTTATTGTTAAAAGAATGGAATTGATAGAAATCTTTTAGAATTTAATTATAATTAAATATTGTAATTTTTTCAGCCTAAATAATGGTCAATAGTATGAGAAAATCGTATAAATATAAAAACAGCGGCGCCAAGATCGTTAAACGAGTGGCAAAGAGTTAGTCTCATTTAATTAATTGATTCATAAATTTTTATTAAATAATTTGTTGCAGTTCTCGTAAGGATGGTCAAACAAATTGAAAATGACTGGTATCAATTAAGTAATAATACTGAACGAGATGTTATGATAAAGTATGCAAAAATCCCAAAGTTAATGTTATTGTGCGGCTTGATTAACATTACTTCAAGTACTTTGTTTTATCACATTTTATCAAATTTCTTCGGAATTACTTTACGTGCAACATCTAATCTTACTGATATCTATGGAGATAAAATTCTCCCACTTCAATCGGTGTACTTTTTCGATCTATCGACAACCCTTAGTTTTTATTTTGTATCATGGAGTCAATTATTTGGTTCTTTAGTTGCCAGTCTTGTTTATACAACTTTTGACATAACTTTTGGTTTATTTGTGCTGCATACATGTGCTCTCCTAGAAAATCTTTCAGAACGAATTCATAATATGCCAATGGATTCTGAAGTAAAATTTCAGAAAACTTTGAAGTCGACTGTTTTGCAACATTGTGCTTTAGTCAGGTAATTACTGTTGAAGTGTAAGGTAAAGTACCCAGTAGCTGCTCAGGAACCAGTACCTGCTCACTCCATATATTTGTATATCTATGTTCATAAATGCAGATATACAAATCATGGAGTGAGCAGGTACTGGATTTTGAACAGCTACTGGGTATTTTGCCTTATTTGAACAAATTAATTGTGATGGAAAAAATAATCTTGAAAAATGGAATCAAAAGAGCAATCTTTGAAAAAATAAAAAACGCACAAAAAAATTCAACAAAGATAGTAGCGAAGAGAGTGAAGGATATTGGAATGAAATTGCATATATAGAGCAGGGTCGATAATTTTTGAAAGAAAGAATAATTTACGGGCGATCTGAGGTCGAGAAGTAGAAGGGGGTGAGTTTTTAAGGGTAAAAAATGGTTTATCTCGATTTCCGGCAAAACTACAAGTCTTATAAAAAAAAGTTAAATAGCAAAGTTGTACGTAGTAAAAAGATCTACAACTTTATTCTTTGCCATTTTTTCACATAACCTCAAAATTTATGTGAAAAATTCAAATTATAATTTAAAAAAAAAATTCAAACTGTAATTTTTTTTTATTCAATTAGGGTGCTTTTAATTTAATTAGGGATTGAAGATTAGGGTGCTTTTTTGATATTAAGTCAAAATACGGTGAAAAAATAAATATTTCAAATCAAAAAAATTACAGTGTGTTTGAGACATAAAAAGGTAAGTTTTCACCGAATTTCGTGGAAAAAAAAATTTTTTTGTAAAAGACAAAAATAAAAAACCAAAAACTTGGTTATTTGAATTTTTCACATAAATTTTGAGGTTATGTGAAAAAAGTGTAAACACAAAAGTTGTAGATCTTTTTATTACCTACAACTTTGCTGTTCAACTTTTTTCCATAAGACTTGTAATTCTGCTGAAAATCGAGATAAACCGTTTTTTACCGTTAAAAACTCACCCCTTCTACTTCCCGACCTCAGATCGCCCGTAAATTATTTTTCCTTTCATTTTTTTTTATATTCTCTTCCTTTTCCAATGCTTTTCAGCCTCCTATTATTTTTTTTTTGGTTTCAAAAATTATCGACCCTGGTCTATACCTCCCAACGTGAAATGAGTGAAAACCCATTCAAAAGGGGTTTGCTAAACATAAATTTTCTAAAAATTTGAATCGATTTGAACTGGTAGATTTTGATAAATTTCAAAAATAAAATGTTCAAAAACAATTTTTTATAGGGATAATTTTTAAACCACTTTATCTATCAATTTAAAAATTTAATCAGCTCGATAAACCTAAAAAAAATCGTATCGTTTGTTTTTATCATTATCAAATAGTTTCGAGAAAATTCTCACATTTTAATATCTTCAAAATATCTGATTAGGTTTTTCAAATTCTAGTTAACCAACGTAACTCTGCTTAGAACAATCACTAAACAATTAGCACAAAAAAAACCTCAAGTAATAATCGCTTTAATTACGATTGCTTGAATGGCAAGAGTTTTTTCTGCCGACTTTAATTAACGTGTAAACGCCATAAAAATCATTTTACAATGTACCTCTGAAAATTTTTTCTCAAAAAAAAAAAATAGAATTCAAAAATATCTATGGAAATGTAGATATAATAATAACAATAATTGTTTAACTGTTTTTAGATAGGTTCGATATTGCAATAAAATCCGTACGAACAAGAAAATAAAAAAATAATAATAATGAAGTAGTATGCTTTCATGAAACATATTTAATTGTATTTGAATGATTTAGGAGGTGACAATCCTGAAAGTATACTTTGGAGATTTGACTGTGATTTAGCGGGTGAGCCAGATGTTGTAATTTCGCCTCCCCCACCTCCACCACCTCCATCAGCGACAGTTTCGAGAACAACGACGCTTTGACCGATACTTGAAGAGGTGCCGACTGGCGTGCCAGCGCAAAAAGAACTCGCTACACAGACCACCGTAGTCGTCAACATCAACCCTAAAGAGACATGCTTATAGCACTCGTAGTGCCCCAAAAGGGCTGATAATGAAGTCGCAACAGCGTTCCGGGACCAGTGAGGAGGAAAATGAGAAATCTCACCGTATTGATGTTGATTACCACACAAGTTTAATTAAACTCGCATGCCGTAACTTAAATCACACAACAAAGCAACCGCTCCTTCATTCAATTTGGTTCATTATTTCTGTCATTAGTGCTGTTATAATAATAATTACAATTACAATATTACTTTTCTTCATAAGTTAAAATTAGTTATTATTTTAATAGATAAAATTAAATAGCGTTCTTTTTATTTTATAAAACTTGTAAAAAATCACAATGGCCAAAGACCAAATTTGATCTGCATGACTGTCATGTTTCTTTCCTCGTGTAAATAGGAATTCTCTACGACTCAATTGTATAGCAAGTATATACTCGATCTTAAAATACATATAAAATATTTAAATATAGGTACTCGATTTAATAATAAATTTATATAAATATAGGGGAGGGGGGGGGGTCAAAATGGGGTACCCCCCAAAATTTCGTAAAAAAAATTTTTTACTTTAAAAAGCTTTTTTAGCTTTCTAAAATATATTTTAACGTCATTTCCTACAATTTCAGAGGAAAAAAAATTTTTTTTAAATGCAGTAAAAAAATTTTCGTCAAATTTAACACAAATATTTGTGTTACTGACTGTTTTTACACAAACTAATGTCAATTCTACATTCTAGTATGTTAAATCAACACATGAGAATGTAAAATTATACACACTAAGGTGTAATTTGCTACACAAAAATTTTTACACTTTACAAATTGACGAAAAATTTTTTACTGTGCAGTAATTTTCATCGTCATTTTGCATCAT